GATGTCATTAGATTCGATCAAATTATAGGATATTATGTAATGTCAAATAAGACCTTGTTTGAAAACTAATGAGATTTAAAAAGTAAAAAAATAATAATAAAAAAAAAAAACTTATCCCTTCAAATATATTGTTGTGCGTGACTCAAATTTTATAGGCCCATTTTTTTGATGGAATATTTATGCATGATCTAGAATCTTTCGGATCATGAACACATGATAATTATAAAAAATGGCCACCAAAATACACATGCAATCAATCGATTCAAGTACAAATAACATCAACCCAGAATAGAACATGAAGATATTTAATTCAATCAATCCATGGCTTGGTTGGATTTTCACCCAACCCCTAACTAACTACCCACTAAACATGGTGGAAAGCATTCTAACAATTGATTCCAAAGCTATCATTTATTCAATTAAACTATTGGAGAGATGAAATCAAGATGTATTGAACATGCAAGAACAATTAGCAAGGATTAGAGATAAAGTAAGATTAAAAGCATATAAAATTAGAAAAATAACAAGAGAGAAAGAGGAAAGAGATTTCTAAAATTGATGATTAGAGGTTAGAGAGATTGTATAAATTGATAGAACAAACTTCAATTGATTCTTGTACAAATGATTGAGTTTTTGAAAATATAAACTAAGGGTGGAGAGGAATACTATGCACTAATTAAGAGAATAAGCCTAAGGGAGTTAAGAGAGAAGATGAAGATTTTTACAAAATAGGCTAAAGAAAGTATTTATATGACCCCCAAACAAAAAGAACGGAGAAAACAAGAATCGGAATCGATTACAGGGCTGCACGGACGTGCCAATGTCTGGCACGAACGTGCAGCCCCTGCACAGACGTGCCAAAGAGTGCACGATCGTGCAGAATGCTAAAAAAAAGAGGTAGTAGCTACTACCTTGGGGAGACGTCATCTGCACGGACGTGCAAACCTAGCTGGGCAGAATGATCTTCAGCTTCTGAACTCCCCTGCACGGATGTGCAAGGTTTGGCACAGTCGTGCAGGGTCTTCATAAGACCGTTTAACTTATCTCTTCAATCTTGCTTCCTCATTAGCTACCATAGCTTCATTTCTTCTTCTCATTGCTTCTAAATTCTTTCCTCACTCGTTGGAGTGTTTCAAAGTCTCTTCCTTGGACCTAAAATATCATAAAAAACACAAACAACCTCGTGAAGCACGTGATACATAAAAATACATTAAAATAGAGCAATCTATACTTATATATTAAAAGCGTTCCTAAAAACGTTTATGTGTCACGTGGCACCCTCGCCATGTCATCTTTCAACTATGAGCATATTCTAATGAAAAATGTCTATCATGAGGTTTGAACTCACAACCACAAAAATATGCATTAGAAGTCTTACCATCTCATCTATTGATTAATCATGCTTTTATACTCAACTTATAAATATATATATAGATCGGAGATCTGAACATTTAATAACTGCAATTCTTAAAAAAAATCAATTCTATTATTTGCTAATAATGCTCATCGAGGTAATGCATACAAGAAAAATTAACTATGGTTATAAATTAATTTTACTTAATTAATTATTTTGATAATAATTATGTCTTTATTTTCATTATATTATAAATTATATACGAAGGACATATTTACATAATTAGTCAATAGTTGTTCCATAAATACTTTATTCATAGGTTTAATAAAAAACTATTATAATTAAACAAATAATGAATAAATAATAATAAAGAATGAACTAATCTATCTATTCAATTACAAGTATTCAAAGTAACGCTCGGTCCAAACTAGTTAGCGAGTTAAAACATTGAGTTATCACAATACCAAGGCTCAAAACCACTCTATTATCATATCAAATACGTAGTAATAAGCTATCAAAAATACTCCTTAATATTTTATTTATGCCGGTCAAGGTATAACGCTTGATAAAAAACGTATAATCCCATGTGAAGATCCAAGCAAATAAGGCATTTAAATGCTATGTACAAATGAAAGCCCATTTTCACAATTTGATAATTTGATGGAGTGCAAAAAAAAATAACTTCTTACAGAGGTTCCAATATCCATCAATTTACGTAATCTGACACTAGTTTAACGGCAAATTCTGCAAAATTTTGTCTGTAATTTTAGGGTAATTCTCTGTTTCTCATAGGTTATGTGTCAAGATTTGAGGCTCTCACTCATGATAAATACGCGGTCCTCACCAGTGAAAAATATCACATTATTTTCCAAAATTTCATTATGAGAAACAAAAGTGTTTCTCATAATGAGGAATTGGAGTTCCCTCGTAATTTTAAGAACTTTTAAGAATCTTATATCATATACATTCTTGTTTTTAGTTGCTTTATTTAATCTGAAGAAGCGAAATTTAAAGGGCAGGTGCCAAAGCCCACCAAGTGTTTGATAAAAGGCCTAAGTGAAAGCAAAATATGGAAGTTACAGTTGGAACGCTAGTAAACAGTTGCTGGGGGAATGCTCGCCCTCTCTCTCGCCACTTCTTCCACCATCAAAGTCATCCAATCCGTCACTGAAGCTAAAAGGGTATCCTCTTCGATCTTCTAATTGTAAGGATATAATCCCCCGTTCTAACTGTCAGATACCTAACAGTCTTAACACTTTCGCAAATTGGTCTTATTTGCTGCAGAAAAGCGAGGCGAAACCATGTCTAGGATGTAAAGGAAAAGGATTCTACGTTTGCAAACTTTGCAAAGGGAATGCTACCATACAATGGTCTCCTTTGTATGATCCTATTCATATTAACCCTTGTCAATCAATGCCCGACTTGTGATGGTCATTGGTTAGTCTTGTTCATTCCTTTAGTAGTTGATCATTTTTCAAAGCTCAAAATTCGTAAACTTTCAGTATTCATGGATATTGTTTGTTTTATTTTATTTCAGCATTCAACGGTGTCTTAACTGTATTGGTAAAGGATACTATTGAGCTCCAATGGCGTAGCTTGCTCCAACTTCTGCAATCCATTCTAGCTAGCTGCATAGTGAGTTAGATGGAATATACTCCATTGTTGTCGTGTCAATATGAATCTAAGCTAAGCATTATCGTGGTATGTTCCTATCAGTTTTCCTAGCTTAGCTGATTGAAGTCTAATAATATCGGCGCCTAATTTGTACTGTAATTGTTTTCTGGTTTGTTTAGTGATGTGCATGAGAACATATTCTGTGTTATATTTCGCAAAGATAATCTAGTGACTTCTATTATTAGTTATATATCAATTAGATTAAATAGAGCTACTTTGTATAGTAGGAAAAACTAATTCAGTTATAATTACTATCATCAAACTTGTTAGTTCTTATAATTTATCATACAAAGTAGAAACAATTGGTGACTTGTGATCCCTGTGCTTTAATTTAATAGATATGCTACATCTCGCACCAAAGTAAAGCTCTTACTGTCAGTAACTCAACGAGGTTTCTGTGATATTTCATCTTGTTGTAGTTTATGTACGTCGTAGAAGTTGAACAACTTGACCCAATGCAAGTGTAGATAGAGTAGGATAGTCTTTTGCTCAACGACCTCATCCCTTCAAGCAAAGAGTTTAGCTAGCCTATTATTTGATTGAGTTATATGTAGTAATTTTACTCATATGGAAATTCAAATAGGTTTAACTTATTTGGTACAAAGGATGTTAGGATGGTACCAAACTCAATAGCATTTACATACGCTAGACCATTTTAGCCAAGAGCTTGAATTGGTGCATCATTCAAAAAGTCCCTCATCAGCATGTTCTGTTCATCGATCATGCTCATCAAATATATACTAATACATATCTCTCATTTGTGTTTCTTTCTATTCCGGTTACTTAGTTTTGATGTATTCAGCTAATATATGACCAAAGAACACGTAATTACATAATAGTGGTATAGAAATTATTAGTAATGAAGCCACAAAACACATATATTTATATGAAGGCCACCAATTGAGTAGGTAATTGATATACGAAGTATTATTTAGATAATTGGATTATTGAAATAGTACATAAGTGCATAGGAAACATGAACACATTGCGTATCAGTGCAGGGAAGTTTTATTTAGTACGTTATACTAGCTAGCTCGTAAGACTGCACCAGCATTATATTAGTTGGGCAATGCTAGCTCAACCCCAAACGACGTTAACTTCGACGGAGCCATACTTTCCGTTCATGGGTTTCTTCTCACTCACACCAGCTTCTTTGACTAGAAACACAACGTTACCGTTTGCAATTTCATCGTCGGGAGAACGGTATCATAATAATTGATGGTGACTCACCATCTCAGAAATCCTGAATCCGCCACTGGTCACAAGAATAGTTCATTAGTACGTACGTACGAGGATTTACACGTCAAGGTTTCAGTTGATCAAATCATTTAAATGTTTGTATAATGCATGGTTGGATCGATAATCCAAATCATGGTTTTAAATTCATGGTCTAAAGTTACTTCCTTGATTTCTCTTGAAGTGTGATTTACTTTCAATTTTTCGTGTATGTAGACTCGTGGTGTATCTTTGTGCTGTTAAGAATTTCTCCCCGAGGTATTTCCTCGGAGTTGAAATTTGCCACTTAATAAACGAAACTCTTCCTTCCCCTAAGTAATGAGAACTAAGGATTTGAACCACGACCTCAACAACATACTACGCATGCATAACCAACTAAGCTATTTTATATTTTCATGAGTTAATAGAGCAATATATATTAATACCTAAGTTGATCCATGGGGCGGGCCAAGGCTCCGGATAAGCCCCTCTTGGATCCGTCTATACCACATACATAGGTCATTTTTTTCCAAAGTATTTCCTTCTAGGAAGCTTATCCATGTTATAATGTTAATTATGTTGATCAATTGGGCTTTATCGTGTTTTATAAAGTTAAGTATTAAGGAAGGCTTTTCAATAGCCCCCGGTAAATTGTACTCCGTAGATTATTTATTGGCAACGAAGCAGCAAAACACATATACGAAGGCCTCCAATTTAGACTTGTTAATCAATATGAGAAACTTGGAATTACCCCCAATTTAGTAGGTAAAAACATATGAAATTACGAAGTATTATTAAGATAATAACATTGAAGTAGTACATGAACGCATAGGAAACGTAAGCACTAGTGCAAGGCAGTTTTATTTAGCTATATTAGCTAGCTTGCTAGTAATTCAAGACCGCACCAGCATTATATTAGTTGAGCAACACAAGCTCAACCCCAAGTGACGTTAACTTCGATGGAGCCATACTTTCCGTTGATGGGTTGCTTCTCTTCCACACCAGGTCCTCTGACTAGAAACGTAACGGTACCGTTTGCAATTTCATCGTCGGGAGAAAGAGTATCATAATCCATCAAGTATGCTGTAATCTCCATTGCATCGGCGGCTTCAGGCACATTCACACTCGGCTGGCTTAAGGGAATGAATTCCCCTGGCCTCACGTCAATGCGTTGACTTTTGAGGCCTATTAAACAGTGAAAATTGGTTACTGATTCCAAAGCGACCAGTTATGCTTCCGTAAACTTGTGCAGGATCTTCTCCATCGCCGTTGATGAGCTTAACACTCAGCGTAGCTTGAACATTGTTACTGAACATCACCTTTGTTGCTGCATATTCTTGAGTGCTGCCATCTTTTGAGTATATTATTCTCCTACATACAAACCACAAATTATCAATTAAAATGAAAAAAACACATGCTTTAGTGTCAAATACTAATTAAGATACCAATAAGACAAGGCCTAGTGGTTAAGACTGAAGGTTTGTGACTCTGTTTACAATATATCATTGTTTCAAATCACACACCCCTATTTGTAACTTGTATTGCCTTTGTAATCCAGTCGGACCAAAAGAAAAAAATACTAAACTATTTAAAATCAGTGAATTGAGCAAGCTAATTAATTAAAGAGATCAATAGCTTAGGCAGTTACCTTAATCAAGTATGACCTTCTTCTGTATGTAATCTGTCTGACTTGCAAACAATAATGACATGCTTGCCCACCTTTATATAGTGGGAGAAGATGTGATGGAGGCAATATTTAATTAATTGATTCGATGATGTGATTCTTTGGGGCCTATATTTAGCTCATCAGAATGTGATTCTTAAGCCTATTCTCAAAACGTTTTGTTCTTTTAAATAAATTATATAATAATTTAAGAGAATTTTTCAGTAGTCTCTTATTCTTTGGATATTTTGCTTGAGGGCCGGATCAATCTTTCTTATTCTTAGATTTCTACTGTAAAAATCATATATCGATACAAGTATACAACGTGCACCCATTGGATATTGTTGCTTGAGGACGACAAATGATTAGCCCCCACATCCGATTCTAACTATCAAATACCTAACATTTTCACCATTATGATTAAAGTCTTATCAAATATTTAGAGGGAGTACCATACTATGGTCTCTTTTGTATGATCCCATTCATCGTCAATGCCCTTTTTGCGATGGTCATTTGGTTGGTCTTGAATTTTTTTTTTTTTTTTACACACGTATTTCACTTTTGCTATGGGGAAAAATTTTAATTTAGTTTTACTACCATAAAAAAACAAGTCTGTTAAAAATTGCTACCACTTAATGGAATCTGTTGGGGTTCCGTTAAGTTTATTCAAAAAATTAAAAAAGAAAAAATTAATTATTTTAAGAAAAAGAAAAACCCAGCCACCACCTTCAACTGCCAGCCATCACCCGTCAGCCACCCTCCCCCTTGCCCTGCCGACACCAAAGCGTCGCCCGGTGCTGGCGACTCCATCCTCTCCTTCTCCCTTTCCTCTACCTACGCAACCTTTCCCCATCCCTTATCCTTTTCTCTCTCGCTGCCCCAACCCCCCATCCCAAACCGGAAACCACCTCCCTCCCCATTTGCCCCACCAAAATTGGCCCCCTTCCCATTCCCCCACCGGAATCGACCCCCCTCCCCTTCCCCTACCCTTTTTGGCCACCCCTAACCCTAAACCACCACCCCGAAACCACCATAAGCGAAACCCTAAAACCCGTTTAGGCTGGTTCGGGCTGGTGCTTTAGGGTTAGAGGTTTTGGTTTTTGGTGCTGGGAGTGGGGCGACTTGTTCAGAGGGAGGAGCAGCAGCAGTAGCGGCGCTTTTTGGACTTTTTTTGGTGTGGCGAGAGGTTGAAGGTGCGTAATGGTGGTGCGGTGGGAAGAGCTGTCGTGGGTAATTGAGAGGAGTAAGGGATGGTACGATGGTTGAAAGGTTGGGTTAAGGTCGCGACGATGGAGAAAAGGGAGGGGAAGTGGGGTCGCAGGCGCCGGGCGACGCTTTGGGCACCAGTCTCCGACAGGGGGAGGGGGATTGCTGGGCAGTGATGGTGGCTGGGTGTTTTTATTTTCTTTTTTTTCTGGTGGGTCAAGGTGGCTGACGGGAAGGTAATGAGGTGTCTGAGGAGGGGGGGTGGCAGTGAGGGTTGTTAGATCTCACTAACGGAAATAGTAACTAAAAGTGATATGTGGTAGCAATTTTTAACAAATTTGTTTTTGTATGGTAGTAAAAGAAAAATAAAATTTTCTCAGCAAAAGTGAAATACATGTGTTTTGTTGGTAGCAAAAGTGAAAATTTCCTTTTTTTTTAAGTATTAGATTCTTTGATATAGACTTGAGAGTTGAACAACTTTTTGATATTCTTAATAATAATTTCCTTTGGTCCTTTTTATTTTTCTCACTTTTAAACTTTTGTCAAGAAAAAATTTCAACTCGAAAAAACATAAAGGATCGGATAGAGAATTTTTTTATCAAGAAAATATTATTTCTCATCTCTTCAGTTTATATCAAAGAATCTAATTAGTTTCATCAAATAAAACGTACATAATTCTTTCATTAAAAAAAAAAGAAGAAGAAGAATCTATATTTTATTATAA